GTGTATTAATGTGCAATTGGCCCGGATTTTTGTCTTTTAGTGTTTAACAGTGTGTCACTGGCCTGGATTAGTGTCTTTTAGTGGCCATTAGTGTCTCACTGGCCCAGATTAGTGTCTTTTAGTGTCCATTAGTGTCTCACTTGGCCCAAGTTAGTGTCTTTTAGTGTCCATTAGTGTCTCACTGGCCCAGATTAGTGTCTTTTAGTGTCCATTAATGTTCTTGACCTGATTAGTGTGTTTTAGTGTATACTGGCCTAGATCAGTGTCCTGTAGTGTTCATGATTGCCCATGGCTGCCTGAACCCTGATATCCGGGCCTTGCGAACACGAAATGCGTAGTTTTTGTCTCTAGCAAAAAAGCGAGCCCTGCACGCGAGCAATGAGTGGTTTATAGGAATGTTCCGAGCTTGCCTTGGAAGCCATTTCTCTTGTGACTTGCGCGTCTCTAGGGTTCACAAGCGCAGAGATAGGGAACAGATTGGCCGACATGGCGGCCGATGCAGAAGTGCAGAAAGCATTATCAGAAGTGAGAGAGAGCGCTACCCTGCCAGCTGCAGAGAAAGAAGCAGCCGAACGCTCAGTCCAGAGATTGTGCCGCGGGAACAAGGAACTGGCAACAGCTGACAAAGGCGAACTCATCGAACTCTACATCGCCATGAAACGGGGTCGAGGCGAGAACGCCAGGATTAACGCAGCTCACATCCTCGGATGGCGACAGAGGCATGTCCAATCGACTCTTCTCAAGCAGTCCTTCTTTGTGGTTCCACGCCGAGGAAGGGAGCATTTGGAACAAGAGATGGCAGCTTACATTGTTGATCCTTTGTCTTTGCCAGATTTGCCAGTGACGTTCAACAGCCAAGAAAGCATGTTGATGGATGATAGCGCACCCCGCAGCAAATTAGGGTTTGGCGTTAGCGTGCTGGAATTGGCAGCAGGGACGCAGCGGGATAGGACCTTGGATCGTACTGGGGATGAGCTAAGTAAGTCGCTACCTTCCGCTGTTTCCTCGAGTTCCAGCCATGAAGCCCCTGCTAAAGCTGCTGCGCCTACGCCAAGCCAGGTTGCAACGCAAGTGCCACGAGTGCCATCAAAAGAGGATTTTGGCTGAGCAACCATCGGAGGAGGTCAGCGAACAGGCAGCGGCAGAGGCCATTGCTGGCCGCTTGAAACAGGCCTTTGACACGGGCAATCTTCACAATGAAGATGCCTTGGTAAATACATCAGCCACATTTTGGCTGAAAAAATACCAGGCAGGGTGGTCAATCCGTTTGTCAATGAACAGAAGCCTTTTAGCGTTGCTTCTTGCCATTTGCGCCCTAGGCGCACCTCGAGTCGCTGGCACGATCATGGCGCCAGAAACACCCTGAGAATTCAGACATGTCAGGGTGCTTCGGCCGAATGTTAAGTCGAGGGCGACTATTTTTTCTTGTTGCCTGTTTGTTGGCTTGTTTGCTTGCTTGCCTGCTTACTGAGGTGCCGTCGGGGGCAGGGGGCGTGTGGCGAGGCGGCCTCACGTCCCGCCCCCGTGCTTCTCCCTGTCTTTTTGTTTGTTTGTTTGTTTGCTTGTTTGCTTCTTCGTTTGCCTGCCTGTTTGTTGCCTTGCTTGTTTGCTTGCTTGCCTGCTTTCTGAGGCGCCGTCGGGGGCGGGGGGCGTGGGGCGAGGCGGCCTCACGTCCCGCCCCCGTGCTTCTGCCTGTCTTTTTGTTTGTTTGTTTGCTTCTTCGTTTGCCTGCCTGTTTGTTGCCTTGCTTGTTTGCTTGCTTGCCTGCTTACTGAGGTGCCGTCGGGGGCGGGGGGCGTGGGGCGAGGCGGCCTCACGTCCCGCCCCCGTGCTTCTGCCTGTCTTTTTGTTTGTTTGTTTGTTTGTTTTGCCTGCCTGTTTGTTGCCTTGCTTGTTACTTGCTTGCCTGCGTACTAAGGTGCCGTCGGGGGCGGGGTGCGTGGGGCGAGGCGGCCTCACAGCCCGCCCCCGTGCTTCTGCCTATCTTTTTGTTTGTTTGTTTCTTTGTGCTTGCTTGTTTGTTGCCTTGCTCGTTTGCTTGCTTGCGTCCTCACTAAGGTGCCGTCGGGGGCGGGGTCCCGCCCCCGTGCTTTTGCCTGTCTGCTTCTTCTTGTTCTCCCTGCCTGTTTGTTGCCTTGCTTGTTTGCTTGCTTGCCTGCGTACTAAGGTGCCGTCGGGGGCGGGGTGCGTGGGGCGAGGCGGCCTCACGGCCCGCCCCCGTGCTTCTGCCTATCTTTTTGTTTTTCTTTTTCTGCCTGTCTGCTTGACTGCCTGCTTGTTTCTTCGTTTGTTTGTTCGCTGGGAAGAATGGAAGGGGGTACGATAAGAGAATCACCATTCACAATGTGTTTAATGCTAAGTGCTTTCTTCCTATTCAGAAGGTTAGAGGAAGTGTATGGCAAATGTTGGTAAATGACTGCGACAGGTTTATGACATCCCTTGATCCGCACAGCAAGCTGGTGGTCAAATATGTGGTGTCTACGCTATTAGAGGTTGACTCCTTCTCTACCTTGCAGCCGTTTATCAAGATTTTCCACGACCTCGAGAAGGCAGTGCCTGGCTTCTTGCCGGACATGGCCAAGGCTGTTATGGAGCTCGGTCAGTGCGATTTCAACATTGGGGAGATACATAGTGTTGGGGAGTCCCTGAATTTGCACCAACAGACTAAGTTCTTCAACAGCAAGTTGTACGGTGGCTTTATGAAAGCCCGTTGTGCTCATCAAGTTGGCCAATTGCGCGCAGCTGCAGAAAAACCTTCAGTGGAAAGACTTGCTGCTGCTCGCCGCTTGTTGCAATCAGAACACATTGCACCGGAGCACAAAAGCGAGCTTGAGCAAGTCGTGACATTGCTGGGAGGGGCTTCCGATGAAGTGAAGCTCGCCTGGTTGTTGCAGGACATCGATCGTTTCGATATGCTCAGCGCTTGGTGCCCTAAGAGTGACCTCGGCAACGCCTACTATTTCGCACAGAGCCTTGCAATTGTTTGAGTCAAACAGAGTGATTTTGTCTTCGGAAGGAATGAAAATGGAACACATCACCGATGTTAGTCCCAACGTGTGAAAGAAGACGAGCCTTTTAATCAGTCAACAAACAACGCCGTTCCGTAGAGTCATGAGATTTGTTTTCAATGAACAAGAATGGTACCATCTCCCCCCCCCCAGACCCCCCCCCCCCCCTGTAGCGCAAATAGGGCTCAAAGCAGAATGACAAGGCGCGGAGACTGATGCCTCTTTTATGGCTGCGCAGGTATTCTCTGTGAGAATGTGGGTTACGCCGCTGCGGAATGCACAAGCAAAGATATCAAGCTGTGACATTCACACGCAGAACAAAGTAGGATACAAGGGATTCCTACATTGCCGTAAGGGTCAATCATGTGCAATTCAAGCAAACCCCCCCCCCCCCGAACCTCCGCCCGGCCGCGCCGATCTTGGTCCCGACGCATACCCTCTTTTACAGTAAGTAAGTTTGAAGTTCGTAGCGCATGTTGTTTGATTTTCTGACCTATGGCCAATCGACTGTAGGAAGGAGGTAGACTGGAGCAAGGTCCAGCCGGAAGCATTCCTGCGAGCATCTTCCCAGGTTGCTGCTCTAAAGGATTGCTTGCAGCATGTAGTGCATCCTGTCGCCCGTGCCCTTTTGGATGCTCGGTTGTTTACCGATGGGATTTCCCCTTTTGTTTTTTTCTTTTGATTGAACAAACAATGCCATCATAATCTGAGTTTGACTAAGGACAAGTACGGCAAGTGGCTTGCGGTTTGTCGGAAATTCCCCAATATCGTTCCAATATGCGAGGGCATTTATCTCGATCTCGCAACTATCAAGTTGGGCGTCCCAATGCATACGCTCCCGGTGGCAGATTCCATTCAGAAGTTGTCCGAGGAAGAAAAAGATATCCTTCCTAAACTGGTGTCTTTGGTGGGCCAGAAAGACCTTGCCAGAGACGGCCGAGTTTTGGAAGCCATGCGTGATTTTTTGCCAAAGAATGAGGAAAAGTCAGTGGCGAAAGGCGATAAAATGGAAGCACCCCAGCCTGCACCAACAATAGATGAGAGCACAGGTCTCCCAGAGGAAGAAGCCAAACAGGGAGATGAAGGAGTGGTCTCTCCGCAAAGTTTTCCGATCGGTGCCAAAGTCCGGATCCATGTGTCTCGCTTGAAGCGGAAATTCGATGGTCAGCTAGCAGAAGTCGAATCGGTTGGCCAGAAATTCGTTAAAGTCAGAATGTTGACAGGCCCAAGTATGACTGAGACAAAGCAGTTCCTGCCAACGTGCATAAAGCTGGAAGAGCCTGTAAAGGCTGCTGAAACAGAAAAAACATCAGCAGCATCCACGGCTGCTCAAAGAGCGGAAGCCTTGTTTGGCAAGTGCGATGATATTTAGAGATGGTCCCGATGAGGCCGCGCGGACAAAAGGCTATGCTAGACCAAGGGATAGCCCCCCTTGTTTCGCGACCAGTTAAGCTATGGAAATGATTAAGGGCTTGAAGCCGGCGGTTGGTTATTAAAATACAAGTCGGGCCATTGCGGGTAACATATATTGGGGAGACGCAAAAGGACACTAAACGACGCTAATTGGCATTGGTAAACGCTAATCTAGGCCCCCAAGAGTTTACACCTAATCCTTCTCTTTCTTTCTCTCTCTTTTTCTTTTTAAAGGAAGAAAACATGTTTTCCCTTTATTTTCCTTTCTCTATGTTTTAATTTTTCCTTTTTATTTTTTTTTATTAATATTATTATTAATAGAATTAATAAATTCTTTTTAATATTATATAATTCATAATTCCTATTCCATATAAAATATATCTTCTATTTAGTTATTATTTACATATAATTTATTATCTAATCAATTTATTTCAGAGTATTTCAAGGGGAGGAATATATTATTATATATATATATATAAGTATCTTAAATCTCGGAATCGGAAAATTTGAATCCAATAAATAACCTCGAAATAGAAATATATTCGTTCTTCCCATTGTGAAAATTATAGATTTCATTTTCTGAGAGGTTCATTGCTGCAGCCAGGCCGCGTAAGGGTGCAAATGCTTCCAGGACCTCACAGATGGCAACCCACATGTCTGTGCGAAAAGTGGCCACGTGGCAGTGTCCTTTACGCATTTATGAAAATTGAATGATTGTGTCTCTCAAGGAAGGACTTTTGCCTTTCGTCCTCCTATTCGAGGCCCTAATTGGGGGGATCCTTGGATTAAGCCAGGCAAAAACTTCAAAGTACCTGTGCACACAGGAATTCATCTCATCTGCTTGCGAGATGGCCGAAAAGTGCGGGTTCTGCGACCATTAACATGAATCAGCAATCCAGCAACCAACCTGAACAAAGAACCAAGAAATGAACCTCTGCTAGTGGCTGCCTTGACCTTTGTGGGACACATGCCGCATGAACAACAAGCAGTGAACCAACACTTGCTGGGCGACAACCGCAAGTGGGCAGTCCGAGGACAACCCTAAGTTTTTGACAGTTGCATGGCCAGCAAGCCAACCTTAAGTTGGCACCACTCCTTTGAAGACACGTTGTCAACTCACCAGCGTGGATGAAGCTTGGGCTCCCACGACATATTGGGCACTGCCCCTAGGCACCAAAAGCACTCCAACCAGGGCAAGATGATGCAGTCGACCTTTCATGAGGCCCGGATTGTTGGAAAGCTCCTGTTTTGTCTGCCGTCCAAAGTCGATATGGGCTTCTTTCCTCTAGTAGGGTGATGTATTTCTTTGCGAAGTTTCTCGGAGATTGAATGTTAAACTCGCCAGGTCCTGGAAGCACTTCTTGCCTCTGACGTGTGTCGTGCTGTAGGGTCTTTGTGAACTTGTTTACTGGTCTCCTTGGGTGTGTGAGGTACTGTCAATTCGCAAGCTATCAATACTTGTATGCTTGTCCTGGCCGACTTTGACAGCGGAAGTGTGGGATAACACATTGAAACTCATGCGACAAACACCGACAAAGTGGGTCGTCCCAAAGGTGGCCACATTGCCCAGGGAACATCTGCGCTGCATCATTTGCCCGCCTGTAGACGTCGGCATCTCCCCAAACACGCTGTGAAAAGGGCAGCACGTGGCCGTCCAAAGCCACCGCGGTCTGGTTGATGCGGAACCAGTGCACGCCTGCGAACCCATGGTCTTTTCTCTGACCTTTGCAGCCCAACACGCAAGTACCAAAGTCTTGGCCAATGGCCTGCGTTTTTGTTTAGTTCAAATTCCCTGGGCTGGCCTTCAACACAAACTCACAGGCCTCATTTGGAGGACTGCACCTGGCTGGAAACAGCCGTCTGGAGTGATATGCCTGAAGGGCGAGCAAACCACCCGCACACTGGATCAGCTTCCTTCTCATGGTTTGGATCCTGCTGACTTGGTGGTTAGGAGTGGTTTCCCTTTTTTCCACAAGAACCAGAGGTTCGAATCCACTAATTCAGGGTTACCTGCGAATTCCTTCATCACGGTCCTGGAAGCCTTCTCCATCTTGAGCAGGGAGCTCATTTGAATGGAACTTGCGTTGATCAACCAAGAATCTGCCCCTGCGTGTGTCTCAAAATCATGGAACATAGTCGATGTTCCTGGTTTCCTTTTTGGTCCCGCACTTGGTAAGCATAGCTTCGACCAAAGCGCGCAAGCTCGTGCAGCTCACCCGGCTCACGAGAATCCGTCCTTATTATGCGAAATCACTTGTTTTTCCAACCCCCGCCCCCACTGCTATGTCACGCAGCTTTCTTTTGCAAATCTGGTGTCGTTTTTGAGGGTACGATTTTCGATTTCTTCAACATAATCCAGGAGACCACCCATTGGGTGTCTCGTATTTCGAGACAAACCATGTCGGTGGTTGCGGAAGCTTCGGCATCCGAGGATCTCGACACCTTCTCTCACGACTTTTAAGGGAATAGTTGTCTGGCTGGTGGTAACCTTCCGTTTTGCTCGTTTGCTCGTAAAATTGATCGCCAATTCCTGCTCATGTGCTGATCCCCCAGAACCCGACAGATCTCACCTACGAAGTTGTGCTAACCTTTGTCCCACCCAAAACCCCCCTTGGTCCAAGCTCCAGCCTGAGCCCACTTTGAAGGACTCCGCCATGTCCAGCGTCGCTGGCACAGGCCGGCTCCTGAATCCGCACAAGACCCACCGTTTTTTTGCTTCTCCTCCCGGTATGCATGTCGACAAGTACCGCCGATTGCGAGGGCGCCAAGCAGGATGCCAGTTTGTTCATCTTCCAGGCTTGCTTCCAGCTAGCCAACCTTCAAGGGATGTTGCCTCCATTTCCGCAGCTCAAGGCATGCTGCCATAGTCTATGGGCCGACTGCTTTCTGAGAGGCCAAAGGGGTTCCAACACTCCGGGTATATGCTTGTCGCCAAAGGCTGCGGAGTATGATGGTGTATGTGATGGCTGTGACACACCAAGCATCTGTAGCTACTTTTTAGCTCTTGGAATGGGGATGGGGGTGACCATACATGCAAACCTATTCGATGCTTCATCTCCAGATTGATTTTCTGCCAATTTCACACATGCCGCTTCTTTTCCTCACACACCACAGGGCAAGGCCAGCCACCAGTTCATGGACTCATGACTTTAAAATCGCTTCGGATTCCCTAATTAGGGCAAGCCCACATGATCATGAAAGCAGGAGTCCTTGCTGGGGCTCCGTTGAATAGCCTGAATTCTGGCTACAGCCCTGCAGTGTGGCATGTCTCCCAACATTTGGCTCTCTTCGCTTTTGCTCAGCCCCCAATGTCTCCGCATTAAAAAAGCAAAAAAAAAACGAGCCGGCGCGGTCTGCCGAGGAGCTCGTCGACGTTCTGGTTCAAGAAGGGCTTGCCGGAGAAGGTGCCCTGGGGCTCTGGAAAGCGGATCTCAGACCGAAGGGCTTTGTCTCAAAAGGAGACCCCAAGGGCTGGCTCTGGGTTCTGACTTGGTCTCTTAAAACCAAAAAGGGGTGCCTCCAAAGACACACTGATCTGAAAAACCGGTGAATTCCCCACATGTGAGCCTTTTCCGAGAGCCTCATGCAACAAGCGTGACAGAAGCACTGCCGTACACATGTCAAGAAGAAAACACGGCAACACATGTGAAGACGCAGAAGCCAAAGTCAGATTCCAAGTTCAAACTCGCAACACAGTTGCCAGTGCCCATGTCAGTTTTGACGCCGTTTTGAGTATCGTCTCGTGTCACGTGCTTGCTTTCTTGCGCCATTCCTTTGCTTCCTCTTCAGCAAGCACGGAACCCGGTCCAGTTGATGTCCATGGACGAAGTAGCTTCAAAGAGATCGGACACGACACCAGGGCAAAACAAGGCCAAGGCCAAGAAAGGCAAATGTTACTGTTTGGGGGTCCGGTGGGTTAAATCCTTTGTTGGTGCATAGAGAACCGAAAGATATGAAAAGGGGGTTTGCCCGCGGGTGGGTGGGTGAGAGTTGGAGAGGCCGACTGCCTGCGACCAGTCGAGGCCAAGGGAGCTCAACTTGGCCACGTTGGATGCCTTGAGGCGAAGGCTCGATCAAACGTATCCTGCATCTTTGAAAGACTCATGGCCACGCTGATTGGCAGACTACTCAAAGAACCTTGCCTACTGCGTGGTTGTGATGCGAAACTAAAAGGAAATCATCCATGTTTGGCTTTGTGCTTGGGGATGTCCATACTTCCTGACCAACGTACGCACAGTGAATCTATGTCACATGACCTCCAGGATCAACAAAGAGTTGAAGCCGCTGCCTGGGAAGGCCTCACAGGCAGCAACTAATGTAATGCCTGAAACCGAATCACAGAAGTGACTCCTGTGCCAGACGAAAATATATTTTGCATAAATTACGGCCACCACATCCGCATCCGGTCACGCTAACATTGGTTTTTGCGTTGGCACTGAACAAAAGGCAAGGTGGCAGCACATTGCGCCAAAGGCAGTAAGGAGCCCAATAGCCAGTCAAGCCCGTTCACCGCGGTGTTGCCAAAGCCAAAGCACTCTACAAGGTGCCTGACCTTCAAGGTTTTCAACACTGATTTTGTCAGATCCAAAGATCCGGCCAAACATTAAACTCTTGCTATCTTGCTGGCTTGGGATTTGAAGAAAGGCATTGCGGGCTCCTTGCCGCCCGAGCGGCCGCCACCCTGGCCATCTCTGTCGCAAGCTGCTCAGAAGCTGGCGGTGCGATGTCCGCGTGCTGCCGCAACCTGAGGGACGAGGGACTCTTCCCGTGTGGGCTCAGGTGAGCACCTGTGTAAGGAATTGTTCCTTAGAAGCGAAAACCTTAGCGGGAATCTAGCAAGCGCCTCATACCTCAAGGCCACGACTGCTGACCACTTGTGCATTCCCCATGGCTGTTTGGCCCTGAGAGCTTTGGCAGCAAATCCCAATTGCACAGCCTTAGAAGAACTAGATGCGAAGTCCTTCACGTTGAAGCAGTTTAGCCGAGCTTCTCAAACACTCGAAATGTTGGCCAGTCCCTTTGCACATCCCAGGCAGGATTTAGCATCCCGGCAGCCATGGGGGCCCGTAGAGACCTATTGCCTGTCAACAAGGCTTCGTATACACGTATATCATATCTGTAAATGTATATGTGTGTGGAAATACACGTGTATGTATGTTAAACTTGGAGCAACTGTAAAACCTAATTACCTTGTGATGAACCTGTGTGTGAAGTGAAGCGCAGTTGTTTTCCTCTGGGCAATGATGTACTGTCTACTGTAACTGTACTAAGGCAGGTCTGTACATAGGTTCAAGGCCTTGAGATGTAGGGCAGCGGATGTAGCCCAACTGTGCTGCTAGAGAAAGCATGTAGTATTTAACACACCTCCTCAGGAGAATGTTGTATACATTCTCCTGAAATGTTGAAAATGGATGTCGCCACTGTACAAAAGATGTGTACCAAGCTGTGCCAACTTCCTTGTGGGTCGTGGTGTCAAAAGCAGATGTAAAACAGCTGCTGTTTCAAGCAACTGTTGTATCGAGCTGTCCGACCGCCAAAAATCGTAGTTGTGTGAACCATGATGTTCACGCATTTCTTGGCCTCTTTCCAGACACTGCTGTAACCTCATCCATGTTGGTTGCTGCTGCGATGAGCTCCTCGCACGACGTGTTCACCTGGCTGATGTACTTGAGGATCTGTAGACCCGAGTACTCAATCACATGTTGCAGTCTGTAGGTGGCTCAAGCTGACCATGGCGTTGTAATCTCAAGCCAAACCGTTGGTCCATGAAGATGTCGAGGACATTGTGTTGGCAAATCTTGTGCTCTGAAATGGTAGGTCAAAGTTGTGAGAGCATCAAATGGACTGGTGTTGTAGATCATGTGCTTTCAGAACCGCCTCCTCATGTTGGCCTGCAGTCCAGTGTAATCACCATTCAAACTGTTGTTCCTCTGCAGAAAAAAAGGGATGTGCAAAACACCGCTTTTTCGATTCTCAGGTATGCCATGACTCTCTAATGCGACCAGCCTGTGCCTTCCTCCTCAAATGCTCTGCCTCAGAAATCTGTCTTTACCAAACTGTTTGCAGTGACGCAGCTGTTGCACTAGCTGCTGCCATTCTATGGCGTGGATCATACCAAAAGCACGACGTCAACTCTACACACGTGCATGCTCGCTGAAATGTCATCTTCACAAGCCAAGGCCGGCCAAGCCAGTGCCATCGTCCCTGCTTGCCTTGGCAAACCCACAAATTTCAGTGAACAGTTTTGGCTCCGGTTCTGGAACTGCCAAGGGCGTTTGGGTGTGAAGGATGGGCTGGGGCCCGACCAATCAAGTAATTAAAAGACACTGCGAACATGACCAAAATACAAAATCTGGGGCAGGCGGTGTCATAGATCTACATCCGCCAAAGCATTCAATGAATCCTACTGAATCCAAGCTTAAACATCTAGTCATCCACTTATGCTACTTTACGGGTGACGGGTGTAGCAATGCTTGTCATTGAGTCATGCAACATCCCTGAGCGGGGGGGGGGACTGTAACGGAGATTTGCCCACACATTGAAGCAAACAGCCTGTTTGTGTTCCATCTGCCCATGCCTTGGGACGACGCATGGGCGTACCACCCGAAACGGAAAGTGGGCTCGCGCAGATCCCAAACGATCGAGTTTGAACCGACGCCGACCAGGAGCAAACAAATAAACAGCAGTGCAATCAAACAGAGTGAGGTAGAGAGACTATCAAGGACAAAAGGCAAACATGGCAGCGCCCTTGGCAGTGCGTATCCGGGTCAAGCTGTGTGGCGCCCAAACATGCACTGCAGTCATTCCACGCAATGACGCAGCACCCATCAGAGCGTGTTGCGGGTTTGTTGCGGGCTTCCAAAAAAAGCAAAAGCCTTGCAGCCTGGCCAGACGCCGCGGGAACCTTGTTTTGGGAAAGACGCCTCACACCATGCGGTCACGGGGATTGCGGTCAGACAAACAAACTTTACAAGATGCGTTAATAACCTACGTGCGTCACAGAGGGGCGTTTGCGAACGCTGGTGCAAGTCCAGCTTGAGGAGGCAACAGGGCAGGAAATTGACTGCGTGACGCATGGTCGCTTCTAAGCGCTACAACTGCGTGCGAGCGAGTTGGCGATCCGAACTCCACCATCATACTGTTCATGCTGCATCATGCTGCTCTGACTTATCGCAATTTATCACACTGCCTGTTTTTGTTGGCCTTTACTGCAGTGGCAAGAAACCTCAGCCTATGCGAAAGCTACGGAATATATTACTATACTCTGCTCAATTGCTGGCTGCAGAGTGAAGGACAAACATCCCAGCTCGCTCCTGCGCTGTAAGCTCTCTGGCAGTTAGAGGTGATTTTGCCCGCGATGGCTTCCTGCCGTGTGAACGGGCTTTGGGCTCTTTAACAAGAACAGCCACTCAACACGAACCCCACTCAGCGTCAAGCACAGCCAAGCCTGAGCAAACGCCCAAAGGACGCAGCATTCTTATTCAGCCTCTCCCATAATAAACAGCAAGTTAATGACGCAAGGCTAATCGGTAAACTTGGGCTTTGTCACAGCAGGGTCCGTCTCTTTGACCAGGCTTGGTGAATTGGACATGGCCAAAAGCAAAGCAATGCACGAAACAAGAAGCTCGCCTGGGACACATGAGCCAACCGCAACGCCTTGTGCAATACAGCATTGGGCCCTTTAGCTGGACGCTATCGAGGAATCCTTCAGTTTAAGTAGAACAGCATTCCACATGAAGGCAGCTTGTAGCAGAAGAGAGACAAGCAAACAAGGCAAGATCTCTCAAATCTTGCCTTCGCAAGGGAGAAGGCTTGCCACTTCGTGTCACGACACAGTCAGCTTGTTATAAAGTCTAAATGCCCAACGCTGATCCCTTTTAAAGAATGTCAAAAAATCAGCGACCTGGGTTCCTGATGTACATAGGTTCAAGGCCTTGGGATGTATGGGCAGCAGATGTAGCCCAACTCTACTGCTAGAGAAAGCATGTAGTATTTAACAATATATATATACACAATATATATATATATATTCATGTATATAATATGCATATGCGTAGATCTATCGCTGCAGCTGAATCCAGAACTACTCTTCGTGTTGACGTGCTCCGAGTGCCCTCTGAGGCTCCGACAGCTTCGACATCAGATCCTTCGGAGCTACACACGAGCGGCTCCCAGCAAACACGTCAAACATCAAATTCTGGATTTTGTCTTGGCTTCAGCCGGCTGATCAAAGGTGCGAAAAACTGCTTGACATCCCGATATTTTAAACCTCAAGGCAGACTTTCCAACTTCACGGAGGAGACCCGCATCACCAACCACACTGACAGCCCAGTAGCCATGGACATTGAACAGGTGACTCGGACTCTTGGGCGAGTTTCAAATCTCGTGAAGCAAACAACAAACACGCGGAGTTGCAACTGGGTTTTCCCCCGAGCTGTCTGGACCCCGGACCGTCTGGACCCCGGTTTCGCGTTGCACGCACTGCCGGCTCCTGCGCAAAGGCTTGGCCCTTGACGCCAACGGACACCTCGGCATCCCGATTGGCCAGCAAGGAGCGGTCGTTGAGGTTGGCGCTGCCTACGATGGACTCCGCACCTTGCGAAAGGGGCCGGGGAGTTTCCAGGTCCTTTTCAGTGGTACGACATAGGCTGGCAGTTCAGAATCTTGGCAAACTGGGGTTCAAATCCCCAAGCCACCAATCTAAACCAACCAGAGGGAGTCTCGCCAAACTCGCAACACCTAGAGCCTCGAGCATAGACCCTGCCGGAAAACCTGAAGAGGCAGATTGACCCATAGAAACCTCCACAGAAGGGCCCTTCCAGCCCAATTTCTGCGACCGGCCGGCCTTCAGAAACAAATGATCTCATTTTGCCTTTACCGGCGAAATCACAAATCCTTGCTTGCCCCAAAAGCCTTGCCCGCCTCACATGATCTCGCTTTGCAAGACGGCCTAACCCCTGCAACTCACCCTGATAACCCTGCAATACCCTACAAGACATACAAGTGTAGGCTGGGAGCAAATACGAATTTGCTCAGATTCCTCGTTTTTTCGAGCTCGTTTGAGCCCGCAACCTCGGCGGAGCCCATGACGGCCATCTAGCGCAACTTTTGCTACCTAGCCTCAAGACCCTGCAAGGCGACAGAAATCGTCTTTGAGGAGAGTTCGAGTGGTGCGCCCTTTGGTTCCGCCTCCACCCGCTTCATGAAGAGGCCAACCCAGGAACAGCTGAACAAGGCGGCTCGCCGACTCGCCTGGCTTGTCGTAATCCACCACCAGCAGCTTGGAATGCACGAAGATCCCGTAGAAGGCGGACGCAGCTGCCTCCCTCCTGGCGGACATTTCGGGCACCTGGCGTCAAGGGGAACCCTTCCTACCAAAACCTCTTCCCATGCAGTGACCAGTGGTGTGTAGAAGCCCCCTTGTAGAAAAAAAGGCACGCCCTAGCACTTCTTGGGGCTTTTCCGACTTACAATCAAAGCGTTGGAACTCAAAGGGGTCCACCCAAAGCCTCACTTCGCATGTGGTTTGTCCAAAACAAGTACAAACTGTTTGTGTACCATTAAACTTATGATTGAAAGTATAAAATCCACGCACTCAGGGAGTGAAAAACCAAAGGTAAAGGATCGACAGGGCAAACATCCGCACCGATTGACAAGGCCGAGGTGGCATATTTGTTTGTTTGGCTCAGCCAATTACAAGCGACACCCGCAACATAGCGAATGGTGCCAATCCGTTTCATTTTGCAACCAATTGTGGGACACCCCAAAGTAAACTCTAGGATGCTGATGAGTCTCTCTTCCCCCTGAACTATGAACAGCCAGTGACCCCTCACATAGGTTCAAGAAGGCACATTCGCAACTATTGTAATCCTCAAGGCCGGACTCAGCAATCCCTAAGCCTAAGGAGCCTTTGTGGGTGTGAATTCTACTGGATCCCGGACCATTTGGTGGACATGATGGTGCGTCCACCCACCACTTTGGAGGCGGTTCCAACCATGAAACATGATAAGGCTTTTGAGGAGAGCCCGTAGTCGATGCGGCCGGGGATCGGATAAGGCACCACATTCGCCAGGTGGTGCATGCCGAAGTAGTTCTTCAGCGGAACTCCTGGGACTTCCAACGCCGGGATGGGCATGGGGGTCTTGTGAGGTTGTTTCAGGAAACCAAAGGGGAAACCCTCGTCATCATCATCATCACCATCACCATCACCATCACAATCACCATCCTCATCACCATCACCATCAGCATCAGCATCAGCATCAGCATCATCAGCACCATCACCATCACCATCACCATCATCCTCACCATCACCATCACCATCACCAGCACCATCATCACCATCCTCATCATCATCACCATCAGAATCAGTATCAGCATCACCATCATCAGCACCATCACCATCACCATCACCATCACCATCACCATCACCATCACAACCACCACCACCACCACCATCACCATCACCATCACCATCACCATCACCATCATCATCACCATCACCATCGCCATCACCATCACCATCACCATCATCATCACCATCATCATCATCATCATCATCATGATCATCATCATCATTTTTGGGCTTCAGCTATTTTGAGACGGATCCATATGACGCGTTTCAACATCGATTGAACGCTTCGGGTAGCCTCCTCTCCAACTGGGACTGGTGGTATTTGGGCGTGTCACGTCCCGTTTCGTGATGAGAGAAACTGTTAGGCAGGTGCAAGAGAAAGCGGTGACAATATGGGTGGAGGGGGCTAGTCATGCTTGCCGGGTAGATTAGACCCGTGACAAGCTGCATGTCCCGAAATGTCGGGTCCCGTCCACAAGGCTGGAATCATCTTGGCTTCCTTTTAGAAATACCAAAGGAGGTATGCCGCATTTTCAGACTTTGGGATTCCTCCAGGGTCATTAGTACTATTGCGAAAGCCAGTCAGTTGCATGTTGGTAAGTGGAGTTTCAGGGCAACTCAAACCTGGCAATATCGCTGCAAGCTGGATCAAGATTAACAGCCCTCAGAGCAAGGCGCGCCGATCCAGCCGATGCACTATCGATTTTGACTCTTGCTGATTCATGAAGAAACTATTTGACACATGCAGGAGATCCGGATCATGCTGAATCAAAGCAAAACACAGGCTAAAACACTAGATACCGCGAACACGGGAATAATCCCCCCAACGGGCCAGAAAAAGGTCAGATTTTGGCCACCAAAAGAAGGTCATTGAAATAATATGGGAAGACTACCTTATTTGGCAATATTACTTTTAGTATTGGATGAGAATAGAATCATTGGGTCGTGCCATGGAAGACCAGTATGCACTGAAATTATGGGAATGACAGCATGGTGCAATGTACACAGCCAGCCATATGCACAAAGAAGCGCGCCTGGCTCCTTCAAAGGGGGGGGGGAAGAAGGGATGATATGTGTTTTTGTTTTTAAAACCTCTCAGAATTTAGGGGCTTGAGGGAGAGCCTGACTAATTCAGGCACGCATAATTTGTTATGATTACTATATATTAGATTACTTTATCTTTTTTGGGGGAGGGTTACAAGCTTCTTCCAATTGATCTTGGGAGGCCCCGCTCAGCGCCGGACTAACATGGATGTTGTTTTTTGATCCCTGGAAACAACCTGATTGGTTGAAGCTCTCTGCCGTGGCTCGAATGTTGTTCAGCACCCAGAACCTGAGGCGCTTTCGGAGAGGACTTGACCCCTCGACAATCGGAGAATCTACCCTTTGGCCAACAAGACGAAGAGAAACCAATGGAAGGGTCTGTAGCGTACATGGTTTTAGACCCCTCTTAAGGAAGATAAAAAAGGAGGACTTTGGTTTTCAGAAAAAGGCGGCTCGCCAACTGTGATCATTGCAGGGGCACACATGGTCGCTCAATTTAGTGCTTAAATTACTGTATTTGGGCGTCCTTCCTATCGGGATCCATGACAACCCTCACTTGTAGAATGACAATAGTTCAATGAAATGAATCCGAAAAAAGAACTCCTAAGGATCTGAGGAATGGCACTTGGACCCGCTGGGACCATGGTTCCAAATGTTTTGGGGTTGCAAGAAGTCAAAGATACACTTCAGCTCACTTCCTCTTACACAGAAGGCTTAGTCCTTGCGCTGTCAGAACTCGTGCAAGTTCCAAGTTCACTGGGCGGGAAATGAACAAACCATCTTCCCAGACCGCACCAAGCACCAAGAAGTACTCCTGGACCCAGGCGTGTCGGGATTTTCAGGCAACTGATTTGTTGTTCAACTAGTCAGGGTCAAAACTTCTTTCCCCAAGAGGACGTAAAAGAAATTCGTGAGTCCTTGGGTTGTGGTTGAAGTCTAGAGCTCGTCAGCTCGTCCCCCCAGTTTCCAAACTTGCGAAGCTCACGGCACATCTTGGCAAAGGTCACGAGTCACAATGCTTATGTGGTGAGAGGCCCCCTGCACCCCCCTACACAAAGAGTGAAGCAGCTTTTCTTGGTTTCTGGGCAAACACACATTTGGGCATTTTGGGTGGAAACACACATCTTCAGCCAAAAGTTGAAAGGTTGAGGATCCAATCCCCAATAGCAGCCTAGTTCAATGCGGGACGTGTCCGGCTGTTCAACAAATTACAGTAAGGATCTCAAGTTCCTTACTGTTGGATGGCTTCAACGGCAACGAATTGCTCAACAATGAGCCACCGCACTTGAATGAGGGGCGTGCCCAACTGTCCACCAACATGGAACCTACCAGTCGGTCCGATTTAGGAGAATGGTCTAAACCAGGATGGTGGGCGTTCCCTAAATTCTGGAACTCGTTATATACCTTGGATGGTTTCACAGGGGCGCAAACAAAGAACGGCAACCTGGAAAATACTTTGGAGCGCCAGCATCCAATCATTTCCGGTCTTCACCTGAGCTCCACTCACCCGAGTCTGTTTCGGCTCAAATGGGTGTTCCCTTGTCGGGTATCTGACTGTTTGGGGTTGTTTCAAAGGCAAGCTCAAGGGAAGCCAAGCAATTTCAGCTTTGACCCCAGCCAAGCAGCTGTTTAGATCTCGGACCATGTTTGTTTGGTGAGCACAAAAGAGGTCACGACAACGGGACACCAGGCCTCAAGGAACCCCCCTGGCTCACCTGGTTCGCCCACGTGGACCGCTGTCCTGGCTGGACCTTGAAGCCTACGGACCCATAGGCGGCCGGCAAAATCGATTAAAAAAAAAACAAAACCAAAAAAAAAAAAAAACGCCCTCTTTCGACTCATGGACCGTGGACCGTGGTAGGTTTGTTGAGGTCACACACACGAGTGCTCGTTAGTTAGTTGTTGCTTCGTGGAGCGCGTTGCGGTTTCGACCGCAACCAACAGGTGGTTACTGACTGGAGCAGCTTGGAGGCATATGTTTTCCAGCAAGTTGGTTGGGTCCACATTGCTTGGCACATTACCGAGAGTTCCTCCGGGTTCCCTCCAAACGTTGACACCCCTATTAATCAACAAGGGTGTTATTACTCCTAGTCATTCCACATCTTCCCTGTCTCAGCCGAAACCGGCATTTCAGCCGAGGGGCTGCTTCAAAGCCTGTCGGCAGAGAGGCTGACACTGAGCGATTTCCCAATCTTTGGTTGTTCTTAGTAGAGAATGTGGGACTGACTCTCTACCGACTACTATGGGGTTCTTGTAGGGAATCGTTAGAAGGTTCATTCTCATATTCCCTGCTAAGAAGAAGCATGTAATGTCTAATTACACGGATCCTTCTGTGGCAGCTTCCCAGAACAAAACCTGGCTGGTGCTTGGAAGCCTCACTTGCTCGTTTGCTCGCTCACTTTGTTGTGAATGCTTTGTCGGGGTCATGCCGAAAGTGGGAACCATGGTATTCTCTCCGAAAGTGCGTGAATCTCGACCTGCTTGAGGACTAACAAGTTCCCTCAAAGGATACAAATTTGGGACTCGGGACAGTCAACAAATCACCTCACCAGCTGGCTTGCGAATCCTTGTGCAGCAGATCTTTGGCTGCATTCTACCGGAGCTTTTTGTTGTGTGGGGCGCGGGGGGGGGGGTGGCGGGGCGGGGGGGCGAGAACGAGGGCCAAAACGCTCAATCCGCACATTTCACCGAATCCGTTTTTGGAAGGCCCTGAAGCTGCGCCTGGCGCCAAGACTTTGGAACCCGCCATCACGCTGGAGAAGCGGAGCCCGAGATCGTTAGGGGAGACAACCTGATTCACAGGATCCAAAGCCGGTCCCGACCTCGCCTCTTCCAGGCATTGTGCATTTTGGAGGTTGGGGTAGTGCGTCCTTAGATGACCATCGGAAGGGAACATGAATGAATCCAAATGAAATAGGTAAGACCCAAGTCTGGCGATGCATTCCAGTGGGAGCGACTGGATTCTACAGCCACTCGCCTTTGCTCGCCCGGACACCGGCGAATTTCGATATTCAACCGAGCTATGTGTGGGAAGGCTTGGCGTTTGTGTGGCGCTTGTAGCACAGTTTGCCAACCCCACTTTCTCAAGGGTATCATGTTAACCCCTGCATCACTAAAACAGGAGGTATGTCATTACCAGGCATTATGAACCATGAAACCGGGCTTTTCAAGAATACTTTTAAACAATGGGACTTTGGAGTAGGGGGAGTTAGAAACTCTAGTTCGCGTACGGCCGAATGTATGTTCGAGATTCCTCAACTCAAATCCTGCGGATTTGTTTGAGGGAATGACTCCCTTCGTGTCGTTCAACGGCAACATATCCACGCGGATGCTGCAATGTTGGAGTCCTCCTGACCTGGATCGCGCGAATTCGTTTACCTTGGACGCCGTTAAGCTGAACACCCATCACAGCCTTGACACCTTAACTCGACCGCTAGCTTGCTCAGGCCCCATTGTCCACGTTACCTCCCTAAGTGGTAGGTCAAACGGAAACGAGCCGAGCTATTTGACTTTCCCAATGCTTCCAGCTACAACAGTAAGAAAAAAACAGTTGTGAGTAGCCGTGGTTTCTTTCCTCGTCTTGAATGATGAAATATCCTGGATATACTACCACAGTGTGACAACCCCCCCCCCAAATCAGCTCAATACATTTAAATACCCCTTGCTACCGTGCACCCCTTCCGCACCCATAAAATGAATGCTCCCTTTCTGAAATGAAGCACCGGGGCGGGGGGGGGGGGCCGCTCCCAAAGAACGGAACACTGAGAGGGGGGGAGGTGGATGTTTTCCTTGACACCTCCCCCCTTCCGATTTCCACACCATCCGAGGCCTTTTAAATGGAAAGGTGAAAGGTGTTTTTATTTGTAGAAAATGCTACAATCGCGCCTCCCCCCCTGGGTCTGCAAGAGCAATCGGAAAATGAAGGGGGGTAACCCCCACGAGGCGAAATTGGAAAAAGCACCTCTCCCAGGTGTTTTTTCCAACTTCCACGGGGACCTCCTCCAAAGCGAGATTCCACGCCAGGGCCCCCGAGGCTGGAAAGAATGGAAGGGACAAATTCCAAAACCTACCTCACGCCCCCCCCTCATATCCTCATATTCTATTTTCGAGGGGGTGGGGATGTCTAGCATCTAATTTGGGTTTCTCTGAGCAGTAGCGTCCCTCCTCGTCAAAGTCCGAGGTTGACACTTCCCCCGCCCAGTTCCTGTTCAACAATGCCCCGAAACTCCCAGTATATTCCCGTCGGCACCTTGATTCTGCCTTTCCCATGGCGAAAAGGATCGGCTTTGGTTCTGCTCCCGATTTCACCGGGGGTTTCCCTTCTGGATTTCCATGGATCAAAAGGTCTCGAGACCGACTCGTCACAGCTGCTCGCACTCTTCGGTGGCCAGCGGGATGACGATCACCACGGAGAAGGGCTCTCCCTTCTTGGCCTCCGCCCACTGGGCCCCAGAAACGGATCTCGTGGATCTCCTTTTGGCTTCGATTTTTTGTTTTTCTTTCTTAACCAAGCCCGCAATGGCAGCGCCAACGCGCAAAACACGGCAGATGTCCAAAGAAAAGGTGGAAGCCCTAAGATGGGCCTGGGTTTCGAAATTTGAGTTTCCACCCGGGGGTGCCAACACAGCAAACGGAAGAGTACAAGAGAAACACTGACATCAACAACAACACAAAAGATACAGAAAGGAACATATACACCAAAAGGAGTCTACGACAATCAGAAGAATACGAGGAAGACAAACAAGAAGGACAACAAACCTACTCAGATTCATCTGAAACAAAGACGAAGACTGTCACCTGGCCACCTCCTCCAAATGCCCCGGAACATACTCTGCAGATTAACATGGAACCCACAAAGGGGGTTACCCCAAAGGAGATTCCTCTCAACATTGCGGTTTGGGTTCCGTGCTCATCCGCAGTGGTGTAGATAATGCTTCATTTCTTGGAGCTGGCTTGAATCTGAGAATGCTAACACCCATCAAAATAGAAGTCCAACTTGTATGCGGAATCAATTCAGTATTCACCAACAGTTGCAACACTTGCCTTTTGTCCCAAACGGGTACTCCAAAACGTTTCAAAGTGTGGTTTTTGGAGAAGGTGATTCTGTGAGAGATTGTCTCAAAGGTCAGCAAGCGAATTCGGGAAAGGTCGACTAGATATTTGGCAAGCAAACATCCCGTCAAGGCATGCTCCCACACATTCAACCCTGTGTTCGGTCAAGTCATTTTCAAACAAGCAAAGCCACCCTTTTCCGATCACGTTACTTACCAAAGGGGAACCTGTAGTTGCTTATTCTTCCCAACCATTCTGAACACACGTATTTCCTTTGAAGAAAGTTCCCAGTAGGAGAACACATTTGACGGTCCTTTCGAAAAGGGAAAGTTCAGGGAGTAACAGAGCCTGTAGGTGGTTGGGTCTACAGAAGCCAGGTCTTACCTAATCAAAGCCTTTTTGACAGTCGAGGTCTCTTGTTTTGGGCTCAAGAGCAGGAAGGCCAACCACCTATTCAACTATTATAAACTAGAAAAACAAACACAACCAACCCCCTTGTGCCTTCAAGCTCCTCTTCTCCTCTTGGGAGACCAACCCCTCCATGGATCGGAGCTTCACGGTCAGGGCAAGGCAGTTTGGTGGCTTGCCATGTCCAGGCCATTTGCGCAAGCAAATGAGCTGAGGCGAAAACCTTTGTGGTGATCTTCTGGTAAAGATCGGTGGCCAAGTCGTTCCTTGGCCAAACGCGGTCACGAGTGGACAAATTGCGCAGATCTGAGCCTTGGCCCGACTTTGGCCCCAAAAAAGAACATGGGAACATGGGGTGGTCTGCAGCACTGTGAAAGCCCCGTCCTTCCCAAACCAAGACCTGACCGACATCTCGGGTACACAAAAAATATGTTCAAACTGTTTGGTATTTAGTCAACCTTAAGATATAACATACATCAGGAGGAGACCCCAAAAGAATAGACTACCAACCAACCATAGACTACCAATTATATTGTCAGTGACTCGTTGACATGAGCTCTCCTGAAAACTCCCCCTGTGAAAAATGGCAAAGACTAGGATTTGTGCAAAATCCCCAACAAACCTGTACCCGTACCTTTTGTGTCTGCGCAGTGTGACACGTGGCTTCTGCGTTCTGCATCTTGCCAGAAGCACACGACAGAACCCTTCTGAAAGTAATCCCAAGCAGTTTGACTTTTGTCATCTTGGATTCCAGCTAGTGGAGAACTGTGCCATCTGGGTCAAACAGTTCACAGCACAAAAGTGTTGCGCTGTTTTCTGGTCTGGATTGTTTGTCATTTTTCACGCACTTTGAACGCTCAAAGATTGAACCAAAGAACGGCACCAGCTGTCGCAACGATACCGCCACGGCAGCAGCAGCAGGACTTGCACAACAAGCACATGAGCAGCGCCCAACACTCTCCGCATTTGTTTGCTTTTCAAACATGGCTACAAAGGATTATTTCATTTGCCTTACTAGAACCTCCCCGTAACCAGGTGAAGAAAGGAACCGCCCACTAAAATGGCCAGTAGGAATCGGCTTTGGACGTTGCTCACATGAAATAGTCGGTCCAGTTTTGTTGTATGAGGCCAAAAACAGTCAAAACAGGCCACTTGCAAACAAACAAAGATAGAACCAAACACACAAGCAAGCAAGCAAGCAAGCAAGCAAGCAAGCAAGCAAGCAAGCAAGCAAGCAAGCAAGCAAGCAAGCAAGCAAGCAAGCAAGCCAGCAAGCCAGCCAGCCAGCCAGCCAGCCAGCAAGCAAGCCAGCCAGCCAGCCAGCCAGCCAGCAAGCAAGCAAACAAGCAGGCAAGCAAGCAGGCAAGCAAACAAACAAAACAGCAAACAGTAAAACACAACACCACAAACAAAACACAACAAAGCCAACTAACAAACACGCAAACAAGCAAACAAGCAAACAAGCAAACAAGCAAACAAACAAACAAACAAACACAAACAAACAAACAAACAAAAAAACAAACAAACACACAAACAAGCAAACAAGCAAACAAAGCAAACACAAAAACAAAGGAAACACACAAACCAAACAAACAAACAAACAAACAAACAAACAAACAAACAAACAAACAAACCAACAAACAAACAAACAAACAAACAAACAAACAACCAAACAAACAACCAAAACAAGCAAAGCAAAACAAACAACCAAACCAACAAAAACAACAACAACACACCAAACTGCGTAGAGCACACCTACACGAAGCAACGCACTATAATGCGAGCTTCTGAGCGCTGCTTAAGAGCTTGGAGCAAGAATGCAGGCTCTCTGTCACCTGAGCTCAGGCTGTTTTCGGCCTTCGTGGCTCGAAATGTCTCTAGTGACCATGCAAACACTCCGAAAACATGTGATCCTTTCTTCTCCAACAAATCCGGGTTCCTTTATCATGCCCACAAATCCAGTTTCCCATGGTTTCCAACAAACAACATCCCATAACCTAAACGAAAAGGAATATGTTCCCCCCGCTTTGCCTTGTGACGACTCCTTTTGACCACTCCTAAAGTGTGTGCCACACGTTCAAGCCAGGGTAAGGGGGGCCCACAATGCCGCCAGAAACACGGGTTGGGAAAAAACCAACAACCCCCATAAACAGACTGCATTTAGGCTGGTTCTTTTGCCAGATTCGTGTTTTCTTTTGTGGAACACGGTTTGCTCGGCCAAAGAAGTGCACCAAAGGCCGGAAAGGACAACCTTCTGCTGGTCAAAAGCGCAAGATCGAGGAAACCAAAAGGGCAAAGGGGCAAAGAGGTGAGGTACGACTTCACATCTCCCCTGAGGAAAGCGGAATCACGTTTCGGGGAATGAAATACGAGGTTGTGTTTCAACTCAGGGTACCCTTTTCGGCGTTTTGTCTTAACGGGAAGCCTCAAGGCAAATGGGGGGTCCACAGATCCCGACGCCCAATCAGGGAGGACCCGGACCCCAAAAGCGAAAGGAATCGAAATTGAGGCAACTTTTAGGACCTATAAAGATTGCCCAACAGGGCCGCAAGGGGAGTCTGAAAAAAGACCCCTGGCCGCAAAAGCGGAACAGCATTCCTCAGCATTTCATGCACGGACAAGACTCGACTCGTCCCAAAGCATATGGGATGGGATTTTGTGGGAAAGAGTGGGCCTTCTCTCACGAAGGCCAAGCTGCCCAAACCTCTCAGCACCTTGCTCGGACCATCGGATGTCAACAGCCCCTCTGCTTCTCCGATGTAAGGCGATGTTATATATACCTTCAGATATATAAGGGTCGATAGATTTATCCGTGAATATCACCCTACCCAAAGGAAGCATGGAGTTGACCAAACAACTGATGTTCAAGACCACTTGGAAGACTATATACATATACAATGGTTTCCCTGTAAACAAAGCTGAAAAGGGCACCAGACCTTAACAAAAACAGCACCCCACAAGTTGATTCGCCTAAACCTGGAACGGGCGCCGAGCCTCAGAAAGCAGATGGCTCCCATTTGGGCCCCGCGCTCTAGGAGAGAGTTTGCTGCCGAAATACTGGTTCTCGATGTAGACCTCAGGGGATGTCGAGCGAGGGGAAGCCCCCGGCGGGTTCATCAAATATCACATCAAGCCGGGTGTGTGTGTGTGTGTGTGTATAAAAGGAGGCGGTTTCTACGGACACCCTGTTACAAGAGCGTTCTAAGCGAACACGCCTACTTAAGGTTTCTTTCTATAGTAAGGCAGCACGTTTGTCTCTAAGGGGATGCAAACCCAAGTTGGGACTTGTTGCAGCCCGCATTAAGAATCAAAGATCAGTTTAAATGAGGCTTGAGGGGTGTCTTTAGCCCTTCATAGCTTGGGATATTCTGTTTTCGGGTCAGAAAAGCAAACTCTGACGCCTTGCCCGCGTGCCCTCGCATGCCCGCGCTCGTGGGAACACGGCTTTCTCGGCCAACTTGGCGCCCAACGCTTGAGGTGGCGCCGGCAATCAGCTTCTTGTGCTCCTGCGAAGCCGGGAGTGAAGGTGTCCTTGAAACCAAAAGCAGGAATCAAGGGAATGTCAGCGGCTCCAATCACAACACGAGATTTCTTTGCAGGGGTGATGTTTTGGCCTTTGGTGGTTGCTGGTCTTTTGGTGTGAGCGATGAGGCCCCCTTTGCATGGTTCATGACAGGGTCTTCCTTCTGCTTGCGAACGAAACACCAAGCCTGGATCCAAACTGTTTGACCCCACGATTTCCTGGGAAAGGAGCGAACACCGGCATTTGAATCTGGGAACGGTTGCAGGGGTTGTCCAAATCTGGCCCTCGCTTTTGGACACCCGAGCGGCTTTCGGGACCTTGGCCCAAGCCAAGAGGTCGACTGACAGGAACCAACGGCTTTGAACAAGACACCAAGGCAAACACGCCAAACAAACTGAACCAAAGAGAACGATGGCCACCCCAAACCAAGCGAAATGGCTAGACAACCAGCACACACACACACACTCTGCCATGAGCAATCAAGCAAGCAAAGCAAAGCCAAGCAAAGCAAAGCAAGCAAACCAGTTCCCAACAAACTGCAAACAAACCCACCCACCTACACCCACACCCACACTCACACCCACACCCACACACCCACCCGCACCCACCCACCCACCGAAGACTCCGAGGAACCAGGCTTTCTTGTATGTCGTTGGTAAAGGGCGGGGGACTTGGCGTGGAATCCACTGTCCTGGTAGATGTCAACCATGACTTGGCGGCCCCCAAACCAGGTGTTGTCGCCTCTGGCTTTCGATGGAAGTCCAAGGCCCTGATACCCCCCTCGCGGGCCCCGGAGCTTGCCCCATGAAGTGTGGTGGATCCCATGTTGGCCAAACCATTTAGGATGGTTCATGGGGGTCATTCCCTCATTCCCCGCTGAGAACCAGCAAGTTACTCAAACAAATGGCCACCCTCCCTGTCAAAAGGGCTGCAAGCCCTTGCAAACGAGCTTGGCGGAACAAGATTGAGCAGCTTGGCAACGACTATCTTAAACATACCCCGGAGGTACAGGACGCCTTGTCGCGCAAGGGTTTCTACGGCAACGTTTGAGCGGTTGCTTATCTAGGGTTGGACCACTGCGCGGGGGTGGATTAAGACCACCAAGCGGATATTTGTGTTGCCATTGCTTCCAGCCAGGTGGTCCTTCAAGGAAGCATTGGTCTTCTGGGGAAGATTGCATGAGTTGCTTGCGTGGGCCCCGAAGATCCCCGACACATTTTCCTTGACCTTTACATAACATACCCCTCACACGGTTGGCATGTCAACTAAACACAATGTGGGCTTTTCGCGGGTGCGATTTTGGAGGATCCGTTGCATTGCAAACTTCCCAGGCAGGGTTCCCGAGAACAACACATAGCGCTGATGCCCTGGGGTGGCTTTGACGGGAAACCTACCACCTGGAGGAATTGCCCCAATCTTTTAAGAAACCCATTCCAAGATTCGAAGGCGGATCATTCTGCAATGTTGACTTCTGGTGCCTTCGATCCCATTGCCCATGAGTTTGTTGCTTCTTTTTTCCCGGGGTCCCTTGCTTGCGCAACCCAAAACAGGCCATATGGGTTTTGGCGGCAATCGAACTTCCGGTCTTGTTAAACGGCAAGTTAATGTGCTCCACGAGCCGCGTATCAGCTGTCACTCAACCTCTGGAGGTGTCAGGGCGAATGGGTTGCGCCCAAAACGGGGATAACTGTTCTCCTGGTGTTGTGTGTGTGTGTGTGCAAACATGCATATGCATATAAATATATACACATGTATATATCGTGCATATATGTACATTTCGCGCATATGTGCTTTGCGTATAATGTATATTTGTGTGTGTATGTTATATATATATATATATGAGTCAGCGTCAAAGTTACTTGTCTGGTATTCATTCCGACGTTAGGACGTCCCGTATCGCTGTTCATTTTTTTGCTAGGCTTTGGGGTATCGTTTTTTTGGACGTCCCGTATCGTTTTTCGAGCAAAACCAGTAAACGACAGGTGCATGAACCACTCCTACATAAAGTAAATGTCGGTAGTTTTGAAGCTGACTCATATATGTAGATATATATGTACACGTTCGATTCGCCCATGAGGCACTCATGCACTCTTCTCTAGAGCCTTGCTTGTGAGGCTTTGCCTCTGACCGAGCCTGTCAGCAGCACCCGGCATTGCTGGCGTTGCTCCTCGCGCTCAGCGAACTGCCGGTGTCGCTATGGTCTTCATACTTGCATATGTCTGCGTTTATAAGCGCAATCGTGCATGTGTACCATAGCCGTATATGTCTGTATATGCATATGTACACATGTGTATATTTCTATGTACATATTTACATACAAAAACATATATACATATATATATATATATATCCGCCGACATTGCTCGGCGTGTCGGACACCTAAGAGAGGATAGAGGAGGAGGGGGGGGGGCCCCCCAAAAAAAATGTAGAAAAGGCTGATTCTAGGGGGTGAGGGGTTGATGGTTGCCTGTTCTGTTTATTTCACAATTCAACACGTGTACCACCTTATCCGTTTTTAAAAGGCTGATTCTGGGGCCAAGAAATAACGATATGGATGTGGTAACGAATTGATGATTTGGTCCCCTGTCTCGCTCCAGATTTCAACTTTTAGTTTTATTGATTGAAAGAGGTTAGGACTTTCTGCGGTTTCACGGGTTGGCTTTTGGGCGGGTCTTCTGATTTTAGGGTAGGGTTTCCGTCAATCCGACCCGACTTCGTGGTCATGCTCATCGTCCTCGATTCTGTCGGGATGCTCAGGTCGCTGGTGTTTTGTTCACAGTATGAAGCTTTTGTGTTTAGTCAAGTCATGACATTCAAGACATGACAGTCAAGACGTGTGATGCGTTTATGTGGCTCATCACCAGTTCTTGTGCTGAGAACTCGCCTTTGTAGTATCCCTTGGCTCTCGCGTTATGGCTCCTAAGAAAGTGAGCATGGGCTACAAGACGGAGGATAAGTCCGGTGAGGTTTCAGTGGACACCACTTGCGATGAGACGATTATGGAGGTTGTCCAGATGATGGAGAACTTGGAGGTGGCAAGCATCAAGCGTGAGACGATGCTTGAGTTTGTCAAGGGTGCCAAGCAGCTCACCAAAAGGTTCAACAACCGCAACAAGCCGACGGAGGAGGAAAGGAAGCGCCTCAATAAGGCGAAGGCATTGGAGCGTGCTGAACTCCGCAAGAAAATGACGTTGGAGAAGCGTGAGCAGGTCTTCATGTTGAGGATGGAGTTCCTTGGAGAGATTTACCAAGCGCAGCTCTTCGCTTCCGACACAATTGCCGACATTCGCAAGGAGCTCTCGAAGGCTGTTGCCAAGCACAAGCTCACAAAGACGACTGCTTCCAAAATCCGCTTCTACTTGAACGGCGTCTGTCTCAACGAGCGTGCAAGGATGGAGTTGGTGAATCACGGCGTTGTCAGTGGCGTTGTCATCCAGTGCGTGATCCCAGATGACATCGACCAGACAGACACAACCAAGAAGGACAGCAAGAACAAAGCCTCAGCCTCCACGGACACTGTGTCCCTGCAGGATGATGACGAAGAGGATGAGGACGATGTCGATGACGATGACGAGGGTATGCCAGAGGAAGACTGAGCGCTTACTTCATAGGGCTCAGCACTCCATCAGCAGGGACACACAGTGTCAAATCTCTCTTCAGGTGATTGTTTTACACTGAAACTTACAGCTGTGTGATGAGAGACAGTGTGAAACCTGCTTCAATTTTGGCAAGTGTCATGGACATTTCACCGATGAGCTTCAAATCCGGACAGTGAATGAAACATTTGACTCGCTTACCATTCTGTGTGTGCTGTGTCGTTTCATGGCTATGATTGTGGAGCAACACACCAAATGAAGATGATGTCGTTGCTTGGATTATCAGACAGTAGTTAGTCAGTTTGGATAAGACCTTTGACCAATGGCACTCGTCTTTGAGATTGACTCAGATGGAGATACCCGCGCCATCTTTTTTAAGAATGGCACCGTTATGGAAGCCGTCACCTATGCCTTGCATCAGGTGAAGGACATATACGAGATGAAGCACATTCTCAACCAAATGACCAAAGAGTCAATCATCAAATGTGTCATGAACCTCAAGGGCAGTTCTTCATTGACGACAAGCATCCCTCTGACAGAGAGTAAGATGAGGTCCATGAAGAAGCAGTACCTCACGGACTTGTTTGCGGCTGTCTTCATTGACCTCACCACGGGCACCGCCAAGATTCCAAAGTATGTTGAAAATGTCTTCGCATCGCCTTTTCCACCTTCTGACGCAGGAGATGGCGATGATGAACCCAATGACGAACAGGACCCCTTCCAGCCAGGTTTACCATCCTCTTCAGTTCCACCAACTGGTGTCGACTCCATCAACATCATCGTGAAAAATGAGCAGGACATGTTTCAGGAGACCTTCAGGGTAACGCTTACCTACACCTTCGTCATGCTAAAGGCAGTCATCAGTGAGCGTTGGAGCATTGCTGTCGAAGCTCAACGCCTTCTTCACGAACAGGAGGACATGCTTGATAGTGCTAGTCTTGAGGACAACAACATCAAAGAGGGCGACTGCTTGTCTTTGCTAATTCGGGGAGACGGAGGGGTCGCTAAAAAGACCATCAAGACCATCATCAAGTCCAAGGGTACAGACCGCACCACGGCTGAGCATCAGTCACTTTTTGAGAACGCCTTCAAGCACTCGGTAGCATTTTCGTCGGCTTCAAAGCTGGATGTTCAGAAGAGTTTTTCGAGTATGACTTTGGACAAGCTGGAGGAGGTGTCAAAGTATCTCCTGAAGGACAAAACGCCCAATGCTAAGAAGGTACCCCACCTTGCCACCTTCATCCCTGAGATTGTGACCCTAATCGAGGCGCAGCAGAAGCTCAACACAGCCGTTGAGACGGCAAAGCAGTTGGTGGTGGAGTTCTTTGAAGAGAACTGCGCTGACAAAGACGACGATGTGAAAATGCCATTGATTGTGAAATGGCTTGATGCTAGAATCGCCATCAAAAAAGAGATGGCAACATCCAGCATGGAGACCTAGTGGTCTGTTGCTCACCATGTGGTTGTTCCCGTCAACATGTTTCAATCAACATGTGTTCCAACCAGCATGTTCGCTCCATCATGTTCTGGAGAACATATGTTGAAGACAACACCCACCATGTTGAAACAACATACCCCTATCTTAAATCAACATCAGTTTCTACGTGTGTGTTTTCCTTTCAGATGTTGAAACAACATACCCCTATGTTAAAACAACATACCCATATGTTAAATCAACATGCCCCTATGTTGAAATCAACATCCATGAGACACATGTTGTCGGGAACATCTGCTTGTCAGGGTGAGTGTAGCGTAGTCTGTTCTACCTTAAACCATCCTTTCTTTCCGAGCGCGAGGAGAAAAAAGAAAAACACGATTCCTTGAGAAAGATGACAATGATTGACGACACCCACACCCTTACTTTTCACTTTGCTTTTGTTATCGTATCCACTCCGCCTGAGGTTGAGAAGTCCTGCTGATCGAGCTCTACATGACCGGCGTCTATCAGGTTCAACAGTCATAGGGTTGGTTTTGAGGTTGTTTAGGGAAAACTCTCGCCAATTTTTTATTTCAATGTTTGAGCCCAAGCCCAAATTTCAAGGTTACTCCCCTTCAACCCCTTCAACTCCACTTTTCCAAAAACCCACCAAAACAAGGGCATAATCCACCATTTCCCAAATCATCGAAACCCAAAAAAATCACAAAATCCATTTCAAGCTCATAACCAACAACCCAAATTTCAAGTTTCAAACCCAAACCCAAACCCTCCCCTTCATCCATCCTGCTTGTCAGAAGGGTCGTCTTCAACGACATCAAGGGTGGAAGGGATGGGAGGGCAGGGAGGGAGGGTTCTTTCCTTAAACTTGTTGTTTAATTGAAAGGGGAAACTATCGCCAATTTTCTGTTTCAATGTTTACCCCCAAACCCATTTTTCAAGGTTTCTTCCCTTCAACCCCTTCAACTCCACTTTCTGAAAACCCACCAAAACAAGGGCATAATCCGCCATTTCCCAAATCATCCAAACCCAAAAAATCACAAAATCCATTTCAAGCTCATCACCGACGACCCCAATTTCAAGTTTCAAGCCCAAGCCCAAACCCTCCACTAAATAATTCTAATAATTTCATATTATTAGAATTATTTAGATATTTATTTTATTGTGTAGTGTCGCGAAGCTCACTAGGCTATTGCTTCGCAATAGCGTAGTGTCCATACGGGATTGAATTGAAAGCATCAATATAAAACCTTTTATTTTCATAATTACTGAGAGATTGCTTGACTTGAGACATTGAATATATTTGATGTGTTTTGCTCCTGATGAAGTTGTAGGAGATTTCATGCTTTTTGTTGTGATGCAGTGCTTCATGATAGTTTTGATATGTTAATTCCTTTTTAACCTTGTGCTTGACGACACCTTTGGATTTCTTGTGTTCCTCATCCTCGCCGTGGATTGTGAAAGCATAGGATGTAGGTTTCAACCCGATGAATCTAGTAATGATTTTTCCATTGACTTCATCTTTGTACATTCCTAAGACCTTCTTATTTGTTGTGTCATGGCATGGATGTTCAACAGGATAATCACTAAAATCCATATGTTGCTTGATACCTTGAAAATCCTTGTAGATATCATCCGTGAAGGTTTGAATTACATAACTGTCAGTATCTGTATATATCAATTTGATATTTTCGTTGTATTTCTTTTTCAACACACCATAGTAAAACTCATACATATGTAATTTACTCAAATCCAATATTGTCATTCCTAAGAATATAGGTTTATCAAGTTTCAAGACCGACTTTGTCTTTTCCACTCCTACCAGATGTTCATTAATGATAAATCTATTTTTGAATGTTGGATTATTCACACATTTTTCATACCTAACATCATTATCTACCAGTTCAAAATCCATATGTTTTCTCTTGTCTTCCATGGTTTTTCCATACACCGCGTTATTCATTAATTTGAACAGGTCCTTCTCAAAGTCGCTCTTCGCTTCTTTCCTCTTACCAGTGTTGAAGTCAATCCACGGTTTCAACCAAGCCCTCTGTTGAAATTTTATTATCCTATGAACCTTGGTGAGTTTCATACCCATTTTTAGACAATACTGTAAAGTCTTGATATGAACAACAT